GCTAAAGTTGGGTAGATAGATAAATGATAGCTAGATGGTAGATGATTATAGATAAATGATAGACAGGTAGGTAGACAGACAGATAGACAGACAGACAGACACCTTCCCCCCCAACTCCAGAAAGTAAGATGCACCAATCCACTTGGGCCCAGTGTGAACTCACATCCTCTGTTTGGGACACACAGAGATGGTTACTGGATTCCAAGATTCTATGTAACTGTCTGAATCAGGGCAAAGAAAGTAGGTTATATATGATGCAAGAATAAATCCTGATATATAATTTTTGTCATGTCTGTGGACTTAATTTATTTTTCCCATTTTTCAGTTTATATTAAAGATTTAATATGGCTAGCAACTCTATGATTTCATTGGGGGGTATAAAGAACCCCCAAGTGAGGAAAGTCTCTCTACCAATAAAGGTCAATACCTTCTCTCCACTGTATAATCTTAGACAATCCCCCACAGGACCAAGGAGTCAGGTGACTTGCCAGCATCACCCAATCAGTACATGTCGAGTAGAGACAAGATCTGAACCAGGCTGTTGGGCTTCGAGGCCAGCTCTCTAGCTATATGTCAGTGCCTCAAGGACTAGAAAGATGCTTCTACTTTTTTCCATTTAAAGAATGCCACATTACCTAAGGTTCCCCAACTTCGCTTCCCTCTGAGTCTGTTTCCTCCTCTAAAAAACTGGATTAAAAATACTTATATTACCTACCCTGACCTGGTTGTTGGGAAGAAAGTACTTTCCCAACTTGAAAGGATTCCTTGTGATTTCATCAGGTAGGAATTCCCTCCCCCAGGCAGATCACAAGTCACCTTGTCGGTTAGAGCCTTAGAGAATTGCCCAAGGCTCCTTGCCTAGGAATTGTCAGAGGTGAGACTGACCCACATCTTCCCAACTCCAAGGCTTCTCCCTGGCACTGGGGCCATGATGCTCATAGGATCATGAAGAAAGCCTTGGAAGGGACCTCAGAAGGCACCTCGCCCAGCTCCACCATTTTACACTCGAGGAAACTAAAGTCCAGGTCTCATAGGTAGCAAATAGTCAGAGGCTAATACTCTGACTTCAGAGTCAGTATTTTTTTTTCTGCTGCTGCTGCTGCTGTAATCCAACCAAACATCACTTCTAGAATAGATACTATTCAGTTAAATTTTTAAATGCTCATGATGAGCATATATTCACCCAAGTCATGCCTTACCAAACTCCAAAAAAAGAGTAATTGCCTCTACTTTGTCACTATCCTCTCACTTTTTAACCAGACGACACCCTTCCACTGGGCTGAAATTGTCCCCTCCCTGGTCAATGATGATTTAACTGCCCAGTCCAATGAATGGCCCCTTGCTCCTTCTCCACCTCTTGGCACTGTTGATCCTCCCCCCTCCCTTTGCTTGAACGGCCCATCCTACCAGTCTGACCAGTCCTTATCAATCTCCATTCCTGGCTGATTCTCCTCCTCTGGCTGCCACCCTCTAAATGTGGGCATCTTTGTCCCTGGCCCTTTTCCCTTCTCTTTCTATACTCTCTCCCTTGGTCTTCTCAACCCCTCCCATGGCTTCAAGAATCAATTTTATATGCGGATGATTTCCAAATCTATGTTTTAGTCTCAGTTTCTCCCCTAGGCTTCAGACTGACACTTCCAACTGCCTCCTAGATATCTCATGGGATTATGAATTCAGAACTAGAAGGGACCTTAGATCATCAATTGGGCCAATCCCCTCGTTTTAAAATTGGGAAAACTGGGGCTAGAGTCCAGGTTTGGTGACTTTCTCAAGGTCATCAAACTAGTAAATTGAAGAGCCAAGATCTGATCTCAGGTCCTCTGACTCCAAATCCAGTATTCTTTCCACTGAACCAAACTTATATTGCTCCAACATGGAAAAAGCCACATTTCCCCCACCAAACTCATCTTTTCTGTACCTGTCCCCTGACTTTCCTATTTTTGTCCATGGCGCTCATCCTGCCAATCACGCAGGCCGGCAATCTTGTCAGCCTATTCTTCTGTTTCTCTCACCCTCTTTGTTGTTCAGTTCTTTCAGTTATGTCTGACTCTTTGTGACCCCATTAGGGGTTTTCTTGGCAAAGATACTGGAGTGGTTTGCCTTTTCCCTCTCCAGCTCATTTTACAGATGAGAACACTGAGGCAAACAGGGTTCAGTGACTTGTCCAGGGTCCCACAGCTAATAAGTGTCTGAGGCTGGATTTGAACCCATGAAGATGAGTCTTCCTGACTTCTGGCCTGGCTCTCTATGGCACATCGAGCTGCCCCCTCTCAACCTCTATATCCAAACATTTGCCAAGACCCTCTGCTTCTGCCTTCATCAGATCTCTTCCATCTCTTCTTTCTTTTCCAGTAACACTAGTAGAGGCCCTTAGTACCCATAACCCAGACCACATTTGCCACTTAATTGGCCTCTCTGTGTCCAGTCTATCCCTTTGTCTGTCTAGCCTGGCTTTTCATCTCCCCTTTACGGTTTGTCTTTTCCCATTTGAATGCAAGCTCTTCGAGGGTAAGGACTGTCTTGCTAGCTTGTATCTGTATCCCCAGCACAATGTTAGGCACATGGTAAACTCTTACTAAATACTTATTGATATATCTAGCTGGCCTTCACACTTCCAACAGAAAAAATCATCCTAATGAACAGATCTGTTTGTGTCACTTTCCTGTTCAGGAAACTTCCTTGGCTCCCTATTGCTCTAGGATAAACCCACACTGGGCAAGGTATTCAAGGTCCCCCCCAGTCTGACTCCAACACACCCCTCCTGTTCCAGCTCCCTCCAGTATGCTGTCGGCTCTTCCAGTCAAACTGGATGAGGACAGCCATCCCACTGTCTTGTCCTCTACTTTCCCACTTCTTCCAGGCCTTGAAACACACTGTCCCTGATAGAGGAAAGATACTTCATCTTCACCTGTTTGAATCCTTCCCTACCTCCAAGGCCCATCTCAGGTACTACCTGCTCCATGAAGACTCCTCTGAGCCCCCCACCGGTGGGAAATCATTTAACTTCTCAAATTTTCCAAGTGTCCCATCTTAATTTCCCCTTTATTCTCGTTGCCTTATGTCATAAGGGTATTGTAGAAGTCACACTCCCCCACCCCCAAACTCCTTGAGGGTAGAGGCTGTATCTTATTTCATCTTTGGGTAACCAACAGCTAGCACAAAATAGATCTGTTGAATTGTACTGAATCAAATTATTCTCTTGCTCTGTTTGGCATCATGCAACCTTACCCCATCCCCACCCCACACTGATTTCCCAAGGTACTTCAGCCTAATCAGTGTTTCTGAGTTTTTGCTAGGTCTAGAGGGTCAGGGCTTTGCCCCCTAGGCACCACAACTGGGGGAGGGGGGACTGAGAGTGCTTACATTTCTTTAACAGCATTCAAACAACTGAGCAAGAATAGTTAAAATTGGAGACCAATTCTCTGAGGAGTTCCTCCAAGGCCCCCCACCCACCCTGCCCCCTTTCCTACCTTCTTTCAATGTTCTGAGACCTTTATGCTCTATGGTATAACCCTGGGTCTCTATCTCAGCCCCATATGGAATCGGTCTTCCCTGTGCCTCTCGCCTGAATTTATCTTTCACAAGTTTATCTGAGAGCACGGCTCTGCGTATCGTTCCCGGTGTCAAGATTGCTTCGTTGTCAGCCTGCTTTTCTCGTCTACTTTTGTCACAGCCCTGAAGATGAAGGCAGTATTATAATGTGGCAAGGGAAGACTTTTTCAAGAAAGCCGCTTGGATAACTCCCAGGTTGTGAATCCTGGTGATATCCTAGACAGTAATAAGGAAGGTAGGAGGAGGCAGGCTGGTTTAGGGCTGGATGAGTGATTTGGAAGAGTGGTGAAGGTCGAATAATCCAGGGAGTGCTGAGCCTTCGAGATTCTGGCTGGATCTAAAGGCCGGCCAGTAGCCGGGTGTAAAGGATCGTAGCATCTTCGAGGTACGCAGAGAGGCGATCATATCCAGAAGGCGGGGATGGTAACTGTGTCAAAAGTGCAGAAAGATTAAGAAAAGTGAGAGCACAGAAAAGGCAGTCAGTTAGAAGGAAAGAGATCGCTAGATTTTGCAGAAAACTGCTCCCTCCGAGTGATGGGGCGGGAAGCGAGAAAGGAAAGAGATGGAGAAGTGAGAAAGGCAAGAGGCCGCAAAGTTGTCTGAGTCGCAGGATCGCTGCCTTAGGACACCCTCCTGGAAAATCTTTCTGTTCCCCCGTGGTCCTTTTCCTGGCTCCCTCCACATTCTCTAGGCCTCAGTTTCCTTATCTGCAAAATGAAGGGGTCAAACGGGATTGCCTCTATTGTCCCTGTCGGGCTCCAAAGTGCTACGATTCTTTGCACCCTAAACAGGGAGCCTTCTCCCAGGCTTTTCTCAGCTAGGGTCAGTGAGTTCGTCTTGGAAGTGAAGGGAGCTGCAAATGGGACAAAAAGGTGGTCTCGGGATGCCGGGTTGGGGGCTCCTGGGTAAGACCCGCGCAGTAGGGGATCGCGACCCCTCTTGGGCAGCCACGCAGCACCCAGGGGCGCCCGCCCGGCCGGCCCGCCCTTGCTCGTTCCCACCAGAAGCAGGGGGAGAGCCCACGGCCCCCAGCGGCCGGGAGGCGCCGTTCCTTCCCGGCACCGAGCCCAGCCAAGGAAGCTGGAGCCAGAGGCGAGGCGGGGGGAGGAAAGAGGAGGGAAGGCGGGTGAGCTGGTGGGTTAGCTCCGCTGGTGGGGACCTCGGCGCGGGGGGGCAGAGAGGAGGAAGAAAAAGGAGGGGCGAGCGCGCCAAGGGAGTGGAGGAGAGGGGGGACGGAGCCCAGGAGAAGCGGGAGAAGGCCGGGGATTGGCCGGAAAGGGAGTCCCCGGAGCCTTCGGGCGGGGGCGGGGGCGGAGGGGAGGGGCCGCGAGCCCCTATTTGTGCCCGCGCTGGACGGCGCCCGGCTCAGAGCCGTGGGTCCCCGGTCCGTGGCCGCCCAGCCTTCAGTCGTCTCCGCCCCCGTAGGCCCCCACCCGCCCCCCGCTGGCATGCTCGCCCGCCAGCAGCGGCTGCCCGGCTGGGCCGGTCCGATGGCGGTGCTGCTCGTCGTGCTGCTGCCCGCGGTAACGCAGGCCTTCTCGGGGCTCTGGCGAACGCTGGAGCCGGAGCGCCAGCAGCCGTGGCGGCGGCTGGACGTGGCGCCCTCCAGCCCGGTGTTCCAGCAGGCCGCCCGGGCCGCCCTGCACTACTTCAACTACCGCGCCGCCTCGCCCAGCACCTTTCGAACCCTGAAACAAGTGCGCAGCGGCACCGCGTGGGTGAGTGCGCCCGGGGCCCGGGGCCCGGGGCGCGGGGGCGGCGGGGCCCTCCGGGGGGCTCCTGCATCCTTCCGGAACGACCGCAGAACGCCCTGCGTCCCGCGTCTGGACTCCCCCTACCCCGGGTCAGGACTCCCCCCACCCCGGGTCAGGACTCCCCCCACCCCGCGTCTGGACTCCCCCCACCCCGCGTCTGGACTCCCCCCACCCCGCGTCTGGACTCCCCCCACCCCGCGTCTGGACTCCCCCCACCCCGCGTCTGGACTCCCCCCACCC